TATATAATAAGTCAGTAAATTTGCTCCAAACTGCTAAAAACTAATACAACACATACATTTCTGGTTAATCTTTCACAACTCCCACTAATAATAAATAAAAACTAAAATAAGAAGACAAAGCTAATTAAGGCTTCTTAAATAAGAACCTTTTGACTTTTCAATATTTGCCCACATTGTTGGGCAATCAATTATGTTTGTAAGAGGAATATTGCTCCTCTTATATAGAGGAACTCTCTCTTTTCAAACATTTTCAATGTGGGATCAAAATGATCCCACATCATTTATAAATGGAGCCCGTGACTCCCGTTTGTCTTATTTTCTTTAAAAAAAAAAATTAATTTTATTTTGTATATAGTTTTGTTTGGATTATTATTATTATTGTTATTATTATTGTTGTTGTTGTTGTTGTTGTTCTTGTAATTTGATTATTTGACAAATTCGTCAAAATTTAAAAAAAATCGCATGTTTAACATTGTATATTTAATCAAAACACCAAAAATATTATTTAATAACTTAGCAATTTGCTCCAAACTGCTAAAAATTAAAACAACACAGATACATTTTGGGTTAATCTTTCCCAAACCCCCTAATAAATTTAAAAATTAAAAAAAAAAACTAAAATAAGAAGTCATTAAGATAAGGTTTCTTAAATAAGAAAGTTTATATGAACAGATACTACATGTAACAGAGTGAATCGAATAGTTATGTTGTGGAACCGTGTCCACCTTGCAAGGTGGACACAGTTCTATGTTCATAATTACTGAACTATATGCTCATAATTATAAAGTTAAATATTCATAATCTTTGAACTTCGTATTCATAATTATTGAACTCTATATTCATAATTACAGAACTTTATGTTCATAGTTACTGAACTATGAGTGTGTTTGGTTCGCACATAGGAATCGGAATCGGAATCGGAATCGGAATGGGTATCAAATACTTGGTAATGATAATGGGTTTTGGTGAAAGTATTTAACATGTTTGGTAGTATGGTGGAATGAGAATGGTTACTAATAGTAGTACTTGAGAATGAATAAGGGAATGAAACCCTTATTTTATTTGGGTATGGATTTTTCAATTGATGGGGTATTCGAAACCCATAGTAGTGTTCTAAAAACCTATCAACCAAACAACAACAATCACTTTCATACCCATTCCTATGGGCAAAACCCACCAACCAAATACACCCTATATGTTCATAATTATAAAGATATATATTCATAATTTTTGAACTTCATATTCACACTTATTGAATCTCTATATTCATAATTATATGTTAATAATTATGTTCACAACACTATGTTCATAATTATAGAACTATATGTTCATAATTTTTGAACTATATATATTCATAATTATGAACAATTTTAGAACCGTGTCTACCTTACATGGTGGGCACGATTCCACAACATAATTTGCCGGGTCACCCGGTGTCGATAAACGAATAAAACAAATGAATATTCAAAGTAATGTAAAATCATTAAATCTTTCAATTTAAACAAAAGGCATAAATTTAAATTTTTAAATATAAAACCTATATGCTTATTCGTGCAGTTGACTGAATATGCTTATTACCAATTAATTATAAAATATCATACATATTATTACCCATTATGCTATTATGTTATTACCTAATTAATATTTGTTCTACACGGTATAACCAATAGAATATTTAATTAATTGTCTGCAAAAGTTTGAGCGAAAAAAATGAAATAGGAGGATTTTATTATTATTATTAATATATATATATATATATATATATATATATATATATATATATTAGGTATTATTTTTATAATTAAGGTATAATATTATTAAATTGAAATTATTTAAAATATATAGATCCATATTATGAAAAATCTTATTAATTTCGGATATTAAAACTATATATTTATATTAAAGGTGAAATGATAAATAATTAAGTTTCAATAAGTTTAGTTATATCCTAACTTTATATTTTATAAAATATATAACCGAGATTAATATTCTTTCTATATACTAAGTTAGTTTAAGGGTCAATAGTATTCAAAAAAAAGTTAGTTTAAAAATATTAATAGTCATTTCTTATTTCAATTGGCATAAATTTCTTGTCATTTTTATTCTCAGTCAATTATTCTTTTTTTAACACATATTAATTAATTAGTTAATTATTAATAACAACTTTTTTTTATATTTCCACTAACTTTACATTTTATAAAATAAATAATCGAGATTGATATTTCTTTCTATCTCAGCTAAACGATAAGATGCAAACTTCATTTTACATATTTATTAATACATTTTATACCAGTAATTTTTATATTTTTAGTAACTTATTAATATTCAAGTATTAATATTCATTTCATTTTTCAATTGGCCTAATTTCAATGAAAATTTTTATATTTTCAGTAATTTATTAATATTCAAGCATTAATATTCATTTCATTTTTATTTTTTAATCAAGTATTAATATTCATTTCACTTTAATTTGATTGGGTTGAGGTTCGAACCTGAGACCTTTCTTATTAAAATCAATGAGTAAATTACGGTGAACTAACATAAATTAACGGAAAAGATAATATTTAACGGAAAAGTTAACGGATAACCATATTCATTAAGGATAAATTAGGAAATCTCAAGAAAAAATTAAAATCTGAACCATTAATTTGATTAAAAAATTTGACCGCCATTTTTTCTACCCATTATAGACCTAACTCTCTTGGACTCTTATATATATATATATATATATATATATATATATATATATAGGATTATATTCAAATACAAATAGCCTTTAAAATATAAACGTGTGGATTGATTAGGATCGTTAGATTTTGTAATTTGATGGATATGATTTATTTAATTATTTATGTATATTGTTTTTAACCGTGCGCATATTTTTAGGTTAGAGGGGGTATTTTTGAATTTTTACCATTGCAATTAATCAGGTATAAGAAATGAAACCAACTAAATTAATAGAAATTTGTTTTGCCAGCCTGACAATTAACAAATGCAAATCCTTACTAGCCAGCAGCTAGCTAGCAAAAGTTGTTTCAGACAATGCCACATTGAACGACCAAGTTTTTTCAAGGTTGGTGGGTACGGTCCCACTAAAAGGGAGAAGGAAGCTGTCACATCTCGCGCAAAAAAAAAAAGTGCTCAATTGGGCGCGTGTATGTCTAAATACACTATTTAATTTTTTTAATTATTTTTTTTTTTGCTTCATGTTGCACCCCGGATAACATCTCTACGAGATTCCGGGGTTTCCTATACCACTCTAAAATTTTTCAACACTTGTACATAACATCTAATAGCTTGTAGAATAATCTAGAAGCATATATATTACATTAGAAGATGTAGGGATGCCTTATAATATTTTAGAACATTATGGAATCCTCTTGGTTGTATAAAGAATTATAGAGGATTCTAGATAATGAATATTAGCCGTAGAATTAAATCAATCTCCACCATCCATTGAGAAGGTGGAATGGGTATAAATACCCTTCAAATTGGCCTCATTTGTAATCAACCAAGCAAAAGTGTTCAAGTAATCTAAGTTCCTTTTAAAGCTTTCAAGTGCCTTTGTGATATTCTTGCTTTACTTGTTTTCCTAACCATCCACCATTTAGGGAAAACGAGCCTCGTTTTTTTTTTTTTTTTTTTTCGCATTTGAGAGGATGTAAATCACAGTAAATTGTCCATTTTTGTGGCTATAGAAGTTCAAAATTTGAACCTTGATACCTTGATCTTTTCAACACTCTTTAATATAACACACTCACCACAGACCAAATACTTGATTTGTATGAGTGTGTTATATTAAAGAGTATTGGAAAGGATCCTACGGTTAATATTCTACGGCTAATATTCATTTTCTAGCACTACAAGAAAAATCGCGAATCGCGATAAAAAATTGCGACGGAAAACTTGTCTTTTAATTTTTCTGTTTTATGATTATTATTTCGTGTGGTGTTTGTTTGGATGTTTTACCACATCAATGGCTATTCATTTCTTCTTCCTCTTCTTTTAATTTTCTTATTATGCAACTTACACTGTTCTTGCACACTCTTCTTTTGACAATTATAAACTAGTTCCACACCCTTACTCTTATTATTGTTTTTACTAGGACTGGTGGAGTGATCTTCTAAAGGAAAATAGTTACAAGGTGGTTGACTATAGTGGCAAAATGGTTCTGCTTCTTGAAATCTTGACCATGTGTGCTAATTTTGGTGATAAGGTACTGGTATTTAGCCTGAATTTGTCAACACTTGACTTCATTGAACTCTATCTTTCAAAGTTGCCACGCCCAGGGAAAAAAAGATATATTTTATGTCAAATATCTTTTGAAGATCTCAAGAGTTGACGAGTTGGATATATTTTTGTGTCAAATATCTTAGATTAAGTCTAAATTGGAGGTTATGTTTGTAATCTATAATTGCACATGCTTCTGCATGTCTGTTGTTATTCAAAAGTATCATTGCAGTTTTACAAATTACATTCCAGGTTCTATGTTTCCTTCATTGAACTTCTCTTGTTTTTATTTATTTTTTTCGTGTGCATGTTTGTTGTTTGTTCCATTGAGGCCATGGATGAATAGCTTTTGACCTTTTCCCTTGTTTTGTGGTGAGCAGGTTAGATGGGTCACTTAATAGAAGGGTTAATGAGCCACTTAAAGTGTCAAATGTACTTTGATATCAACCAAATGCAGCTAACTGAGTAATTATTGTGAATAAAAGGGTATTTAGCATTGCCTGAAATTCTATTTTATTGTGCAGCATATATCTTAAAAATGAATTTAATATTGTGCTCTCTGAATAGTGATTCAATGGTAGGTCTTTATGTATGTTATTTACATGGTTGTGTTTTTTTTTTTTTTCTTTTTTTGTATTTTTTTTTGTTTTGTTTAAGTTGTAATGTTACATAGCTTTCATTTGACTTTTTTTTATTATTATTTTTTTTTTGTATAATTCTTTTCTTATTGCAGGTCAAGAGTAATTTATCCTTCTAATGACATTTTTATTGATGTATTTTTCACATTTGTTCAGTTCTTTCTGATTGTGTTCTTGCCTTCTTGCAGAGCATGGAATTGACTAGTGAAGCTGTTGAGTTCTTGAAGGGGATCTTTAGTCTTTTTGTTAAGTTCAGTAACTTTGGTTTAGTGTTTTTTTTTTTAAGAACCTCATGCCATACATAATTGTTTCATAGAATGTATTGGAACGACTTGATAATGTGAATTGATGATGTATTAGTACTTGTACTTAATGTGGATTGATAATGTTTTAGAATTATGTTATTTTTTAAGAATTAGTTGTGTTTTAATATGTCATTGTAGTTTTATATTAATATTTTAAAAGTTTATATTACTATTTAAAAATAATAATTATAAATAATTTTTTTAAAATAAATAAATAATATGACGAAATCGCAACAAAATATAAGCTTTGCGACAGAATATTTATTGCACAAAATGCGACGGAATTGACACAAAAAATAATTTTGTTGCCAAAATGCAATGGAAAAAATATGGCGACGGAATATTTGTTTCCAAAATGGCGACGGAATTGCAACGGAAAAAGTTCCGTTGCAAATTTGCGACGCCTTATTCCGTTGCCAATTCCGTCGCAATATTTTGCGATGAAATTATTCCGTCGCGAACAAAAATACGACAAGGCCATAGACAACGGAACGGGTTCCGTCGCAAAACCTGATTCGCGACGAAATTTTGGCGTTTCGCAACGGAAATTCGCGATTTTTCTTGTTGTGTATAATTCTCTATACAACCAAGAGGATTCCATAATATTCTAGAATATTCTAAGGCATCCCTATATCCTCTAATGTAATGTACATGCTTTTAGATTATTCTACAAGTTATTAGATGCTATGTACAAGTGCGTTATTAGATGCTATGTACAAGTGCCGGAAAATTCTAGAGTGATGAAGCAATAATAATAATAATAATAATAATAAAATTTAATAGTGTATTTTTGCATGCACGCGCCCGGCTGGACGCTTTTTTTGCGCCACATCATGCGATGTGGCAGCTTCCTTCTCCCTTTTGGTGAGACTCACAAACACTGAAAAAACTTAGTCTTTGCAAGAGCACCCCACTCCTTCTATCTCCTCCATCTCTCACTTCTATGTGGCAAATGAATGAGTAAAATCCCCTTAATGAGGATGTCTTATAGTAGTAAAATATTGAGAGGAGAGTGGTAAAAAAAAAAAAAAAAAAAACACACAAACAAACAAAGAATATGATGTGAACTTTTGCTGTCTTGTTGCAGTCATGTTTGATACTTGGGATGTCTTAAACTACAAGGCTTGGCCGGGCTTTGTTGGGGTTGCAGTCAAAAGATGAGAAGCAATTGAAGCTAGGTAAAAGTGTAAATAAAAGCGAATCTGCTTCTCTGTGTTGCCATGAGTATGGATCACATGCTTCCAAATGATGAAGAAAAGCATGGATATATATATATATATATATATATATATATATATTATGCATATGCACCAACCATGCCACTGCACACCAGAATACCATGCCTAACATATATCCACTATTATTTTATACTCATTTATAATAATAATAATAATAATAATTCATATATATGTTATCATAAATATGCCCGACTGTATACATCAGAGAGTATAAGGTGTATGTATAAAAATTAAAAAACGATTCGCACGAGTTTCTGACTTGTCTGGAATGGACCGATTTCTTTATTTATTGGCTAAAGTTCTGAATTAACCATTTTCGATCTCGAAACTTGTACGACTGTACCCATCTTCTGAGGGCATTTTTGGACATCAGACGCTTAAGTCATGCGTGATCTTCCTGTATTCTTTATTGAATTTGTTTTTTGTCCATCAAATACAATAGTGTATTAAAACATTTAAATTTTTTGTCCAATTACCAATGATTTTGTGGTTTAGAGGCACCAAATTACTTTAAGAAAACTTACATAACAGGCTCGATCAAGCGTTGCAATTTTTTTTTTTTGTCTAATTACCAAGAGTTGCAATGTGCTTTAGTAGCTAGACCAAGATCGAGTTACAAGGTGTTAGGACCATAATCGTATATCTTGAAATCACTCTCCCAAATCCCAACCGTACATTAAACCTCTGATGAATCTGAATCCCTCAGTTTACTATAATTTTTTATCTGTCTTGTCTTGTTCGGCTTCTATTACGTACTGAAATTTAGTACGCAACGAAAGAAACCTTTCGAGCAGGCTTCTAGCTCCTAACCGTATTCGAGTCACGGCAAATTTCAATTTCACACTTCGAGCGTGTGAGGACTCCAAGAAGATTAGACTAGAATAGTAGAATAACAATTTCTATTATAAAATAGAGATAAGAAGCAGTTAATGCATTTTTTGGCCAAAGTTTCCGCCCACAACGAAACGGCGCCATATAGCTTGGGTAGTCGAATTGGAAAATAAAAATGGGAAAAACTTCCCGCCCAACAACTTATGCCAAAATGCAGTCATTTAGATAAAAGGCCAAAATATTAAATGTCAGAAATTATTGATATGCCCGAAGTACTTTATTTGAGGTAATTAGTTATGATAATGCTTAGCCGTTTGGCATTTCCAATACAACGGTTGGTATTCAATCGTTTCGTAAATATACAAACAATTATTAAACCTACTTATAAATACATCACTTTGTGTCAAATACAAACACTTGGACTATAGTAATACTTCATATCAGATCAGATCAGATCGGATTCATTCCAAAAAAAATCATAGAATTGAACAAACTTCTAAAGACACGTTATTTGGTCTGGCATAACTATATAACGTGAAATTGTTCCGTGATACTTGAAAAAGAAAAGATATGTGTTTTTATACGTTAATTGAATTAAGCACCAATTTAGTTGATTAATTAAACTTGTTTAAGTAAGTAGAATTAATAACTGCAGAAAGCATAAATAAAAATAAAAACACCAGGAAATTGTTACGCAGTTCGGAGCTCCTTCTCCTACGTCTGCGGGGCAACCCACGTCTGCCCAATCCACTATAGATGTTCACCAAAGGAGTATTACAAGAGGTAATTGAATACGGCCTCCAACCTTTACCACTACCACTCTTTCTAACACCTATCTAGGATTGACACACGAAAATCCGAACAATCTTCACACGATGCTTCAGCAGTACCACGTACTGATCATGCAGTACAATAAATATTCTAACGAATTAAATCAGAGAATACATTCAAAATATAAATAGCTTTGTAAAATCAAGAGAGCTCTTGGCAGTGTGTAATTCGCAAAGTTGGCAGCTGCTTCCTTCGAACCATGTGTATTTATAGCCTTTCTTGAACCTTTAGTTTAGATCCTTAGCCTTAGCCTTTTCTTTAGCTGCCACTTGTTCGAATAAATCACCACCACTCATTCTTGTCCATTTGAAAGCTTCTTCACCGATTAATGATACACAACATGCAAATCATTTTGACCACTTATTTCATACTCACATGGTCCGTAACTAATTAAGACAAAATACATTGATTTAATTTTTACAACTAGTAAAACCAATTAAAATAGCCAATAGTGTAATTTTAATTTTACACTTACAATCTCCCCCTTTGGCATTTTATTTGGAAAACTTGAGTATCAAATACTTTGGGCAAGATTAAAAACTATTTTTATTTATGGCCCTTAGTATAGACACTTAACAAGACATAGAAATATAAAATTAACAATTAGCAACTTAATTCTTTTGGACCACATGTGAGTTGAAAACCTGATTGAAACACTTCAACTCTTGAACCACATACAGACATAGAACCATAGCATACCAAATCAACGATTTTCTTGAGCAGATATCATACCAAAAAAATTCATACTGTTAGTTAGGAGCATCAACACTTCTATTACTCCCCCTAACTAATGTCAGTCCATTATTACCTTACTAGCATAATCAAATCCAAAATAGCCAAACCAAAAATAAACAACCTTCCAAACTAATCATCCTTCCAAAACATCCGTACTACTCCCCCTTACTCCTAACTCCCCCTTTTGCCAAAGAAAATGACAAAGGCAGGTGAACATCAAAATAGTGGATCAGAATTACCGTGCAGACGGGGTGCCCGAGTCAGAATCATCATCTCCCTCTTCAGAGTCAGAAACCGAGGTAGCAGCACCAGAGTGTGCAATAATCTGAGCGTGAATAACTTCCATACGGGTGATTTCCTTGAGCTGCACATCCCGAAGATTTTCCAGGCCAGTGATGGTGGCTTGTTGAGAGGCAACGGACTGTTGAACTTGTGCAATGGAGGCCTCAAGAGTGAGCAGAATCTGCCAACGATCAACCAAAGTAGTGGGTTCTTTGGGAATCCGTTTAGCGCCTGGACGAGAAGCCGAAGCAGTGTCAGCCGAAGAAGCCGGGGCAGAATGCAGTGGTGCCGGAGGTGGAATGTCCGGAAGATGAGCCAGAGACGCCCGATCATCATAATGTCCCCGTTGAGTGAGTCGATCATAAAAAATATAGGCATTGTCGGGAGTTGTAAGGACTTCCTCCTTATATGGTTGAAACCCGTGATCTTGAAGGACTCCGAAGATCAAACATGGAAACGGAAGATGTATTTTGGCCCCCTTTTTCTGCAAAAAAGACATTAAATGAGAGAAAATAACCATGCCAAGGTTGAATGGAAGGCGGTTCCGGATTTTGTATAGGAGTCCAGCTAGTTGTTCAGAAATTTGGTGACGACGCACGGCCGGGACCCAATTCGCGGAAGCTAGGCGCAAAAGCACAGAATAAACCGTGGTGAGCTTCAAGCTAGAAAGACCATCCCGCGGCCATGAAACTACCTTGTTATGAGTGAGAGCAGTAGCTAACAATTGAGGGCTCGGATCCGGTGAGGCAGGATTATTCGAGGTCCCCAAATAAGCATTGATCTCCGTAGGGCCAAAGGGGTACCATTTTCCACGAATGTAGACTTGATGAAACCTTGCGTGGCCTTCAGTAAATGTATCCAAAGTCAGGTTTGTATAGAATTCGGCCGTCAACCAAGTGGAATACGGGCCAACATGCCGGAGGGAAGCAAGTAGATTTTGATCTCGCAGCAAGGGGATAATGTTACACTTGGCAGTCAAATCTGCTTCATTGATGGTCTTTTCAACGATGAAATCTC